TTGAGCTTCCACTTTGCCGTCTTAGAAACTCACAGCAAAATCAAAGAGTTAATAATAATTTATAGACTTTGCCCTGCTTTCCCACATCAGCTTTAGTTAGTGACCTCAGGAAGGGCATGGGGGTGAGGTACAATATTTCAAGGTTGGCAGTGCAGTTATGGTCTAATTTACAAGCTGTTTAAAATCTGAACTCAGTATTTTGTATTCCTTTTGTGCCTTATGAAGAGGCTCTTCAGCTTTCTAAGTCACCGGGGAGACTTTCAGATACACAACAGTCAGAGTAGAGACTCCAAGTCCACGTTTAAAGCTGTTAAGTGCTCAGAGTGCTAAAACAAATTCATTCTTATTATAAACAGTGTGTTAAATGGATGTATGGAGACATTCTCTCTCCACAAAGATAAGGAGATGTCTAGAAGATCGAGAGAGGATGGATGTGCCAGTTTGGAAGTTGGCACTAAAATGGATGATATTTTTACCTCTTTGGAAAGCCGGTGTAGTCAGATAGCAGCTGGTCTCAGAGCTGAGGCCACCCATTCTGCTGCTGGCAGCCACACTGATGTGCCCTTGGCCCTGTGCCGCTCACCCCTACCTGGCATCCTTGGTTTTTCTAAACTCATGGGTAAGTGAGAGGGGAATGACGTCAGGGGCTCAAACCTTTGGATGCTGATCTAAAAGCATAAACCAAAATCCAACACCCGAGCTCTGCAAGTTTCCATCTGAGGAAGAACCTGTTTTTACAGCAATAGGACAAAGGGTTGCTCTGTCTTTGTCAGACCTGTTCCAGAACTAAGCACAGAGGAAAGTACAGAGTAGGAAAGTCTGTCGTCAGGGCTTCTGTCACTTGTCTTACCCCCTTCACTTTTCGAGAGATGCTCAGGGTTCTATAATGGTCAAGTCTGGCTGCTGTAAAGGACAGTCACTAACATGGCTTGGTGCTCAGTATTAGCCTTGGATGAGCTTGGCCCCATTTAATCTTCAAAGTAGCTCTAGCAGTGAGGGACCGATGTTATCCCATTTTAGAGGTGGGGAAATGGAGGCCTTGAGAAGTTTACATCAGCCTGAGGCCACCCAGCTTAGTGAAAAGCTGAGTCCGGATTTGAGCTCCGAACTGCATTTACTTTGTAGCTGGAGCTTGCTGTTGCAATGACACACAGCACTCAGATGAGCTTGTGTTCTAGAGAGTTCTCTGTCCTTCATTTCCATAATTTTCATGTTCTGTGTACTGTGCAGTGGTCAATAATTCGGGCCCTACAGTCAGATCCCATGATTTTAAGCTGCAACCTTATTGGTTTTGGAAGAACTTGGGTGAGTAATTTGTCCTCCGTGGTCTTTTGTTGATGCATATGAAAATTGGGGTAAGAATAGTACCTGCCCATAAGGTTTTTATTAATTATGTGAGTTAAATGATGTCAAAGGCTGAGAGCAGTGCCTGGGCACCCAGTAAGAGTTTAATGAATATGAACTATTACTGTTTTAATAACCCTATTGTTAACCTTAATGTGCTCCAGATGGTAACAGCTGGGACTCCTCTCTACTTGAGTCAGTCTCATAAGAAGCCAAGTCTAACCACACAGCACATTATGGCCTTGGTGTGTGTCACTTCTGCCTGTCTCCCATTAGTCAAAACTAGTCACTTGGCCAATCCGACCACTGATGGACAGGCCACCAAATCATATGGCAGAAGGAGGAGTGAAGGACTATAAACCATACCCCCACCTACCACAAAAGATATCATTTTTTTCATGCCTCACCACAGCACCCTGCAAAAGGGATTCTAGGGAGACATCGTCATCCTCATTTGGGGATAATTTCTCCAGTGAGAAACATGAGGCTCAGGGACATGCTGTGGTTCCCAAGATGGTGGACACTGGGGCCAGTGCTTGAATTCATTTTTCCTACTTTATCCAGGTGTTATGGTGAATTGCACATTATAGAGAAGCTGGTTCAGACTTGAATCTCTATAGCTTTTTGATTATGACTCATGTACTGTATCCTGGCCCTGTATCAGGCACGCCAGCTATCTCATTTACTCCTCTCATGGACATATACACAGTTGGTATCTTGCCTATTTTATAGATGTGAAGACTGAGGCCTCTTGCTCCCATACAGCAAAGAGCCTTTGTGAAAGCCATATCCCACGGTGGTCGTTGGTTTTTCTAGGTATGACAGGAAGGAAACATGTTTTCCCCCCTTTTCCTTCATGTGGGGATTTCCTTGCATTTGAAATCCTGTGTTGATAGAGATAGTTTATTTAGAAGAGCTTTGGCCTCCTTGGAAGAAAGTTCTTGCATAAATTTGGAGTGTTCTGGTGAGGTGGTATCCTGGAGACGTATGTGTGAATAATAAAAATGTCAGCACCTGCCGCCAAGAACCACTGAATGAAAAGAAAGGAAAATATCATACATCAAAGACAGTTAGAGGTTTATTTAGATTTTAAGTTCCCTGGGCTAGGACCACACCTCGTACATTGTCACATTCAATAAATGTTAAAAAGCAATTGTCCAGCACATGATACACAGTTGTGGTGACATCCCAGACTGCCTCTACCATAGCAGACACATGTGGTCCAGTCACAATGGAAATCCACTCTTTGCTTATGTACTCAGTTTCCTGAGCTCTTCCTTATTAGCATAAGGCTCTGTGGATGAACCAGGGCAGGGAGTTTCTTTCTAGAGCAGAGAAAATGTTCTGTAAGGAACAGCTAATGTGGACTAAGAGGTTACATTAGTTAAGATCGAACTGGAATGAGGTTGACGCATAAGTTTTCAGGCCAGGCAGAAGTTCATGATACCCAGGTCTTAGGTATCTCTAGTCTTTGTGGTAGACCCTGCTGGTTTCCTGTTCACGTACTGAAGGGCTTCTTAATGAAAGCACCCATGGCTCATTGTTCAAGGGCTTTCTTGAGCCACAGGAGCATACTTTTCTTGCACGGCGTTGGGTGCAGGCTGGCATTTTGGGGACGAGGAAAGCCCCCAGGATGAACTCACAACCAATCTCAGATAGGAATTGGTGGATCAAAGATGCAGCTCCCTTGCCCCTCAGTGGGACAGCACAGAAGCTGAGGATCCAAGAGGATTCCAAAGAGATTGAGCCCCAGTTGCCAACAGAGGTTGTCTGCTTATTTACCATCCCCGCTTATTGGCTTCCATCCCTGTCCTGTCTCCCTTCCTTAATCCCCCATTTCATCCAGTACTGCTTGGGATTATCTCCCAAAAAAGCCTTTTGTCTCAAGGTCTTCCTCTTGGGGAATGTAATTTAAGACAACCTTGAAAAATCTTATTGGCTTCCATCCCTGTCCTGTCTCCCTTCCTTAATCCCCCATTTCATCCAGTACTGCTTGGGATTATCTCCCAAAAAAGCCCTTTGTCTCAAGGTCTGCCCTTGGGGAATGTAATTTAAAGACAACCTTTAAAAATCTAGCATAAACAGGGGCACCTGGGTGGCTCAATTGTCAAGCGTCTGCCTTCGGCTTGGGTCATGATCCCAGAGTCCTGGGATCGAGCCCCGCATCGGGCTTTCTGCTCAGTGGGAAGCCTGTTTCTCCCTCTCCCACTCCCCCTGCTTGTGTTCCCTCTCTTGCTGTGTCTCTCTCTGTCAAAAAATAAAATAAATAAAATATTTAAAAAAATCTAGCATAAACCTTTCCCCCAAGTTCTGTGGAAAAGGGTTACAAACCATGTGAAGTCATATAACACTCTTTTGATTACCAGTGCCACAGAGGAGGGGTAGGGAAGACTAACTCCTCAAAGAAGGTGAAGGATGGGATCCTGGCAGGTCAAGAGGGTGAGCAGGTGGGAAGGTGGGAAAAGGTCAAGCAGGAGGCACAGAGACCCTCAAAGGTTTAGGGGAATGGGCTGTTGACACATGGAAATAGGTACTGTGACACGTAGATTTATTTTCAGGCAAACTGTTCACCACAAACCCAAAGTTCCCCTAAACAATTCCTAAGAAAAGCTTCCAGAAGTTTTGAGAATCTGGTGACCACATTTTCTGAATCAAAAATTGGGAACCGGTCTGCCAAAGAATGTTTTGTTTATAATTCATGAGTATATCTGCCAGAAAAAGACAATAGGGGGAATATTGAGAATTGATCGTGCTCCAGAAATTCTGAGATTTGTGGTCACCATACTCAGGGGTTGTGTGATTTAGTGTGTCTCAGCAGACTATATGTGTTATCATGGGAGGAAGGATAAGATCAAAAGTGGAAATTAGAATATTCAAAATTATTGAGATTTTACAACAAAGATTACTCATGACATTGAGACCATAATTTTATTTTTTGAAACTACCATAACTGAAATAATTAAATGCTTATAGACATATAAATGTTTATAACACACAAAAAACTAGACATTTTATTTCTAGGGTGATGTGAATCAGATTTTCTGGGTAACTGACAAGGAGTAGCCTATGAAACGTTTATTCACTAATTTAACTCATATTTATTTATGACTTATGGATAGGCACTGTGCAAGCACTAGAGATATCCTGATAAATAAAACAAAAATTCTTCACCCTCATTAGATTTACAGTGAGGGAGACAGACATCACAGACAAATAAGTGAAGATATAATCACAAATTGCAAAGGAACTGAAAAGCATGCAGTAAGAATCTCTGAGATTTTTTTAAAAAGATTTATTTATTTGAGAGTGAGAGCAAGCAAGGGGAGGGGCAAAGGGAGAGGGAGAGACAATCTCAAGCAGACTCCCTGCTGAGCATGGAGCCCTAACGTGGGGCTGAAGCCCACGACCCTAAGATCATGACCTAAGCCAAAATTAGAAGTCAATTGCTTAACCAGCTGAGCCACCCAGGCGCCCCTCTGAGATATTTTTTTAACAGAGATTTAGAGGTACCTGGGGCATGTCCAAGATGAAACAATAAATTAATGGTAAGACTGGTGCTTCAACCAATATTTCTTGACCTTCACAATAAGAGGGCACAGATACAGTACCTAGCACAGTGCCTGGCACATATAAGATCATTAGAATTGTTAACTCCTGGGACATGGCCGGAACTAAAGTGCGCGGTGTCGCAGTTGGTGCACGCTGTGACTGCTGGGGTTGAATGTAGCGCTTGGTGACCTTTCCTCTTTTCTTTTTTCATTCGCCTCAGAAGAGAAGTCACCACACTCATGGCAGGGATTTTGTGCTCAATAGTTCAGAGGCCCACAGGCAGACACCAAACTGTGACAAAAGGTGTGGAGTCTCTTATTGTACAGATTGGATTTGTCACAAATTTACCAAGTCAAGAATTCCAGATAAAGTATTTCAGCCTTCACCTGCAGATCATGAAAAATATGGTGGGGATCCACAGCACCCTCATAAACTGCATATTGTTACCAGAATAAAAAGTACAAAAAGACGTCCATATTGGGAAAAAGATATAATAAAGATGCTTGGATTAGAAAAAGCACATACTCCTCAAGTTCACAAGAATATCCCTTCAGTGAATGCAAAACTGAAAGTGGTTAAACATTTGATAAGGATCAAGCCCCTGAAGTTGCCCCAAGGACTTCCAGCAGAGGAGGACATGTCTAACACGTGCCTCAAGAGCACTGGGGAATTAGTGGTGCAGTGGCATCTAAACCCCATAGACCAGGAAACAGTTAAGTCCTAAGGCCAGAGCAGTTTCATGTTAAAAAATGCAAATCATTTTTATTTAAACGTAGTGAGAAAGTGTTCTCATTAAAATATATTTTAAATACTAAAAAAAAAAAAAAAAAGAATTGTTAACTCCTTCTCCTCCATTCCTAGTTAACAATTTGTCAGTATGTAAGGTCCTTAGAAAAGTGTCTGGTGTAAGATAAGTACTCAAAATGTTAGCTATTACTACGGTTATTATTGCTACACTTTTCAGCTCTCATTAAGAAACAATATGTGTGTCAGCCATGGAGGGGCACCACTGAATTCTTCGTTGGAAGCAATCTGCTCTAGGGAGCATAGTTGATTGACAGTCTCGGCAGCCACACCTTCAGATCCATTGTCACATTGATGCTCTCCCCACACTGGTCCCAGACAATGAATGAGCACCGCAGGGCTGCTAGAACCAGCCAATTGCTGCCAATGTGGGACTCTGTATTGGCAGCCCCTGCTTGGGGACTGCCGGTTACCCCAGCTAAGACTTTCTCAGAATTGCAGTCTGAAGCTTTTCCTCCCCACCTTCCCAAGTCCCATCCCTCTGACTGCCCCCCATCTAATTTCATAAGAAATTCTTCAATGCATCTCCCTCATGTCCAATCTCATATTCTTTTTTAGAGGACCCGAAGTGCACAGAATGAGAAAATACCATAAGTCCACAAAACACAATTCAATCTAACACAATTCTGTCTTGAATGCCACTAAAAGCAGCTTAGGGGGCGCCTGGGTGGCTCAGTCGTTAAGCGTCTGCCTTTGGCTCGCGTCATGATCTCGGGGTTCTGGGATCAAGACCCGCATCGGGCTCCCCGCTCAGCGGGAAGCCTGCTTCTCCCTCTCCCACTCCCCATGCTTGTGTTCCCTCTCTCTCTATATCTCTCTATGTCAAATAAATAAATAAAATCTTTTTTTTTTAAAGCAGCTTAATTTCTCAAAATCTCAAAAGCACCTTATTATGCAGGATCTTGTCTCTTTTGTGGAACCGGTAACACAGAAATGGAGCACCACAAAAGATGGCCTCTAGATAGAAGAATCCTCGGATAGGGATCTGAAGTCCTTCTTAGATGACTGCCTGCTCTCTAAAGGTCAATCAGAAATTTCTGCTCTACAAACACTGTATTGCATCCACTCTCTCCTCCTTGTATGCCTTGATGAAATACCAACCTGGTCATTTCTGTGCATTGTCAAGAGGGTTGAAGACGAAGTAGGAGAAAAGCAGTTGGTTTTTCTAGCACAGGAATGGGTGAGAGAGTCATTAATATCATGGATGACTCACTGTGTGTTTATTTTCTGGGTCCTGAGAATTATTGTATTCACATTTCCAATATAAACTTGCTTCTATCTGGTGGGTGGTCAGACAGTAGCCATTTAAACTCTTTTTTTGGGGTCATAAATGCACCATTATTTTCTAAATGGTGGCTCTCTATTTACAGCTCTCAAAAGAATATATGTGTTCTACTTGCTCCTCATGCTTGCCAACATTTAGTTGGTCTGTTTTTTTCATTTTAGTCATTCAAACCATTCTGGTTGATATCTATTGTTATCATGTTATAGTTTTAATTTGCATTTACCTGATGGATCTTGAGAGCCTGTTTGGAGTTTCTATCAGAGGAGAGCAGCTACTCATACCCTTGACTGAAGAACAGTCCTCCTCTATCAGGGAAGGTCATTTCCTTCTACTGAGAGTGCAGCTTCAGGAGGGATGCACATGGAGTGGTGAGGGAGGAAGGAAACACTCGTCTAACCAGCCAGATCAGCTGAATCAACCCTGTTGATCAGTGGGGTGATAGATGTTGTAGCCGGATTGCCCTCGCATCCTGCATTTACCTGATGAATAATGATACTGAGAATTTTTTCATGTGTTTATTGGCCATTTGGGAGTTCTCTTTTGTGAAGTGTCAGTTCAAGTTTCTTGATCATTTTCCTATTGGGTTTTTTGGATTTTTCTTATTGATTTGTAGGCATTCTTTATATATTTTGGCAAGTCCTCTGTCAGGTGTATGTACTGTAATAGCATCCCCTGCATTGTGGCTTGCCTTTTCAATCTCATAGTGATGCTTTCTAGTGAACAGAAGTTCTTAATTTTGATGTAGTATAGTTTATACAAGTTTTCCTTCATGCTTGCTGCTCCTTGTGTCCTGTTAAGAAATCTTTGCCTTTCTCGAGGTCATAATTCTACACTTATAAATCATGTACTCTTCTTCCCCACCTCATATATTTCATATATTTTCTCTATTTCTCTTTCTCTCTCTATATATATCTTATATAATATACATTTTATATAGTTATATATAACTATATAGTTTATATAATAGTTTAATAAACATTTTACATAGGTTGACATAGGTTCACATTCTGGCTCCTCACGATAGGACGATGAGGTAGGAACTATCCCCATTTTACAGCTTTAAAAAACTGAGGCCACGAGAGATTAAGTAACATGTCCATGATTTAGCTAGTGGGTGGAAGATGGGGGTGAATCCAGTCTGGCTGCAGAGTCCATGGTTTTGGCCCCCACCTTAGCCTGGGCCTCCCAAAGTCTGCTTGTGCTTTTGTTTCTCCTCAGCAAAATGAGATCAATTGAATCCATTACTCAAGTTATTATAAGGATTAGAGAAATTATTAAAATTGTCTGGCATGGTTCTGAGGACATAATAGGCACACGTAAATATCGTTCCTTTCTATTACTATTAATTCTTTCTAGATAAAATAAAAATTGCAAGAGGTCAAAGGCTGATCTCACATTTTTTTTTCTTCTTATGTGGAGCAAACTGTAATTGAATTCTGAAATGGCTGAACTAACCTTTAACACTGAGAAACCCTAGATCCTATAGTCATCGAAACTTTGGTGCATTTTCTCATTACAGTGAGGACAGTCAAGGATTCCGGATCTAGAGCATGGATCTGTGTATAAAGATCAGTGAGTTGTCAGATGGTGGCTGGAGCAGAGATGAAGACAGGGGTCAGACATGTCAAAGCTTACAGTGGGATTCTTTCCACATTCAACCCTCAGTCTTACCCCTGTTCAGTGACCCAACTACCTCATAGGGAATGAATAGCCACATCACAAACCTGAGGGCTTCGAAGGGCACAAAGGTCTGAAATAGTTCAAAAGTTCAGGGCAAAACTCTAGATGACTTTTAGTTACAACTGGAACCCATTTGGAAAGTTGATTTTCTTTCTTTCTGAAACATAATTTTGGGGAAAAACTGCTAATTTTGAGTTTAGTGCATCCAAGACAATTTCCGTTATTTTCTCTTATAACTTTTTTTATTAACAACACAGCAACAACAACAACAACAAAACTCAGGGTAGTTGCAGAATACTAGAATTCTTTGTGATAATAGCACTGATTCTTCCAAGGTGAAAAGCAGTGATGGAGCGGGAGTAGTAGTGGGAGAGGTGGTGGGGAGGGTAGGGAGGGGGAGAGAGAACTGGAGAACGCCAGAAGATTGAAGTCAGACACCAAGGAGTTGAATTGCTAGTTCCACCACTTTTGAGAGCTGATTGCTCTTAGTAAGATATTTACATTTTCTAAGTTCCGATCTCTCCATCTGTGAAATGGGTGTAGCAGTGCTCCATCACTTGGTCCTGGTGTAGGAAGATTTAGTTAGGTGAGACACACAGAAAATCCTCTACATTTTGCATTGGGCACTCCATAAACAGTGCTTCCCTAGCATTCCTCATTTCCCACTTCTTTTTCTTTGTTTATGATCATAGTTCCTGGCAAACACATCCACTGGCTGGGGCCAGCAGGCACAGATATTAATATGGATAAATGTGTCCTTCAAATGCACATCTGCAGTTTTTGATTTATAGGAGAACTTGAATTGAGAGACTGCTCTGTAATTTTTGGGTGGGGTGGTCTTTGATAAGTCACTCAATCGCTCTTAGGGAGACATCTAATCTATAAGATCAGGTTGTTCTTTCCAATTTTCCCACCCGATAAGCTGCTGCAGGACTAAAATGCAGTGAAACACAAAAGCGCTTTGCACAGCGGAAGTCAACAGGCGGCATTAGAGCTATGTTTCTCCTTCCTCATGAGCATTCATGAGGTGTTCTTATTGATTGAATGCTTCTTTGTAGGAGAATTGCTACTGATAAGTTTCTCTCACAATATTTTGAAAAAAAAAAAAGCTATTTTACTGCACATTTGGCAAATCATCATACACTTATTATAATTGATATGTCTTCCAAAGAAGTCAGTTGCACTCAGCAGAGAGTATGTGGTTTGTGCATACAAAAACAGCCCAGGGAAAAGAACAATTGGAAAAAAAAAAGACCAAAAATTGGGTCACATTTCTTTAAAGGATTCCGGAAAGACGAATGGAGAAAAGCAGTTAAATCAGTATGCCATTTTGTCCATTCAATGATGCAGATTTACAACATGGAACATGAGTGCAGCTAAAAACAAACAAACACACACCACATCAGAAATTAAAACAATTACAACAACAAAAATCAAGCCTCAAACTTGACTGCCTTCTAGGGTGATAACATAGAGTGGTTTCCAGACCTACCTAGAAGAGTGGGCAGTTTGGTCAAATGTATTGAATTTTAGCCAAAAATATGACTTCATTAACTGTTCAGAAAATTGTTGTTTTGTGCTTACACTTCCACTGAGATGCCTACAAGACTTATCTGAGCCATATGTAGCAGACACATTGATGTGCTGCCTAGAATCCCCTTCAAGGACTTGCTTCCAGCTGTGGATGTGTGCGAATCAGGGCTGCCAGCACCTACAGGGTCTGCCTCAGCTACAGAGGGCAGCCTTGCTGGAACTCATGTTTTTCTCAGTGCAAAAAAAGAGAATAAAAGTCTGGCAATTTCTGCCTCATGAATGACAAATGGAGGTCAAGCTTTGTCACGCCTGTACCACAGTTTGACATTTTCCTCTGCCTCATCCTGCTTTCTCTCCCGTACTTTCACAGGTGTTGACCCCTGGTAACATTTTACATTCAAAACTCTGTCTTACTACCTGCTTTCAGGAATCTAACCTGCTTCACATGCTATCCTCCTAG